CTATTTCAAGCAAAACAACAACAATCAGTTCTATTATAGAGCTGAAAATATGATTCAGTTCATTAAGAAAAACAGACTAAGATACTGATCAAGTTCAGACAGACTTCCTCCTCCCCCAGAAAAAGCTATTTTCTTTATCTGGAATCTGCTAGACTATGTCTACATTATAGAGGAACCACTGAGTAAAATAATTTCATTCATCCAGAAAACAATTTGCTGAACTCAAACACCAATGTGTTCTTACATTGAACTAAACTCACGCATTTTTCACACTTACTTTCCCAAGATTGTGGAAAAAGAAAAATCATTAACAATAGGAACTTCTGTTGAGATCTATGAATAACTACAAGCAGAAAGTGGCAAAATCTCCTTGGAGAGTTTGTTAGAAGATTCCTAAACCTTAATACTCCTTAGAGAGGGTAAAATTATTCAGATAACTTTGGTACGATATTCCTAATTATCAATGTTTTTTTTCTAAATCAAACCCAAGCTTCACATCATACTTTAAAGTACATTGAAATTTTAAATTATGCCAGATGCAAAATGATGGGGAAGAGTTCTCATATTTAGTGAGGCATATATTTCTGTGTCAGTACAGAGGCTTTGTAACAGACAACTCAAATACGATTAACCGATATTTAGTGAAGCATGTGTCAGTACAGAGCCTTTGTAACAGACAACTCAAATACGATTAACCAACAAGAAGCGAATGGCAACCTTCTCTACTTATTACATTACTTGATCGTTTGCCTGTGGATTTTCTTTCAGGTGATAATACAAACATGCTTGGTGTTATTAATACAATGGTTTAACATACTCACTTTTTTTTCTTTTACTTCCCCCTCAATTAACTCATGTCCATATAATCAAAAGACTAGCCTAAGGAATCGATCATCTCAATTTTTTTTCCAAAATATCCATTGATTTTTGGTGCCTTAAAACTAAAGTTAAAATGGAAGCATTCAGCATCTCCACACAGGCCAGAGTGAATGTAATTTTTCATGACATAGCATCTTCTAGAGTAACTTAGTTCAAATAAAAAATAGTAGTATAAATGACTACGGTTCTGATCTCTGATCTAAGATAAATACTGACTTTGGTTTATGATAATGATTCTACAAGGTGCAGGTTAACAGGGAAGACCCACAGCATTTAAGTTGGATATACATGTGAGAGCTCTCAAATTCTGTGAATCACTCTGCTTCTTAAAAAGTTTGCTACACTGTGACAGCTTGATTAAATGGCACATTCCTCTGCCTTGCCTTTCTTCCTCTACTATTACCCCCAAAATACCTATATGTTTATAATAGTATACCCTCTTCCATCATATGCATTGAAACAAATACACAAGTAAAAAGCACAAAGACTGCATATGAAGGTTCATAATGGTACTGCCAGAAAACAAACAAAAGTAAAAAAACATCAAACAAGTGTACTGGTAAGATATTTCTAAAAGTAGATCAGTCTTTATCAGCAAGTAACAGGATTAGACTCTCTTTTCTAGCTGCAGTCAATAGACAACACTGTTCTTTATCTAACCTAAGCACAGGAAAAACTTCACAGAAATAAAGCAATTAATAGCTGACTTCAAACATGAGTAAACTGTATTAGCAAATTCAGAGGAATTCAGTTTTACATTTAATCCAAACTAATTCTTCCAACTCTCATTACCATTAGCAAATTACTGTATAAAGCTTTTGCTTATGAAAAAGATAAGTTAGTTCCTTTAGACTATGAAGGAAAATCTTCCATCATAAGAACGGGGACTGTAGACTTAATAAAGCCTATCCTGTTAAAAGAACATTAAAACATGCTTGCTGGAATATGTATTTCTCCTTGTAGGAGAAAAGCTGCTCACATTGCAGAGCTGAGCCTCTTTATAAGCAGGCTTATAGTTAATTTGATTCATTTTCTCCTATTTTGGGCTTCATATCTGTTTTCATCCTTATGCTTCACTATTGCTGGAATGAGAACAGCTGTGAATGGGCATGTTACTACCAGCGCGTTCTTTGGAGGATCTGTACATGGGGTCTGATAGCAGCCTAAATAACTCTGCTACTATTCTGAAGAAAGGAAAAACAATTTCAGAAATCTTCTGACAGTATTTAGCATCTTATTTCAGCAATATTTTCCATCTCTGAATTCCATCTTCTTCATTCCACAAAAATGTATTCAAAGGAAATGTAAGCTGTAGCTGAAGTTACATCAAGTAATTGCATTATTATTTTTTTTTTTTCAATATAGAACTTTAGACTTTATGCAGAGGTTAAATTGTATTAACACTTCTGAAATCAGATCAATGCAGTAACAACAAAATAGTCTCTTTTCCTTCATTCTCTTTCTATTCTAGCTCTAGCTTGCTACACTCCAAAGAAGGTTAGAGTTCAGGCTTAGACACTCAAGTCATCTTTGTTGTGAATTTTTCCCAGTTACCTATAGGCTGCTTTCCACCTTAAGAAAGCACTGAGCCAAGAACTGTTTACCCTCCAGTCCCATATCCAACATAAGAATTCCTATAAAGCTGCAGAAGGCGATCAATGCACCAGGCCTATGCATATCAAATCCTGAAAAAAATGGGAATTCCTACAAGTAACATTTGAACAACTTATGTCTACTGTACATAATATAACAGGAAAGGAATAGGTAAATTGGAATCTACTGTTTTATTTTGACTCTTGCTAAACAATTTTTTGATAAAAGTTTCCATTATCTAAAAAGAGATTAGGGAATATAAACTGCAGGATCACAAAGAACAAGTCACAGATAAAGACAAGCTGAAACAAAATGACAAACAAAAGTTGTAGTTTTCACAGGTTGCAACTGACAGAGACACCAGTATGTTTATTTAGGATGCACTCTAGTGGACACACATAAAACAAAATAAAACAAAGATACAAATGTTACGAAAAGATAGAAAATGAAAGCCACATTTTGGAAGCAGTTATTAAAATTATTATTTAGCATGTTTTAAAATACTGTTTTATAACTTGAACATATTTCCTAGTTAAATATGAAGTCTGTGTGAAGGCTGAAATTTTCATAGTCAACATGATTGGACATAAAATGTAAATAGTCACAAGTTACTTATGAAATTCTGAAAATTTTAACCTAAAACCTGAATCACCTTTAACAAGATGATTCAGTTATGCATACTGGCTCAAAAAAGAAATTCTGTCTATTTATCCAGTTGTTCCATCCCTTTAAGACTGGCACTGTATGGTCGGCATACAATGTTAATAGGTGGAATTAGAACTGTGCTATCTTAAAATGTGACCATAAAATGATTCTATGTTAACTGCTACTAATAAAAATAATCATAAACCATGACAAAATCAGTTTACTGGAATATCTACCATAGAGGCATATTCATTCCACAGAAAAGGTTCTTGACTGTCATAGAAATTGCAAACCTGTAGCAACGCAGAATAAATACAGACAACAAAGCCTGAGCACCGAGTCACAAAAGTAGTTCCTTTTTTCATTACTTAAAGAGTTACACAAACATTTATAAGTATTTATACCTGGAAAGTGAGATTTTTCTCTTTTGATTTTAAGGATGTTCATCCATCATTGGCATCCAACATGCCAAATAACAGCATCCCAAAAGCAATATGGCAATAAAGAGGGCAAAAAATTTTAAATAAACATACTTTATTATTTTTAAGGGAAAAATAATATATTACTATGCTAGAAATCAACAGTGCTTACCTTTTTAAAAATTGATAGGATTATGCCTAGCATGAACAAGTTACTTAGAGCGGAAAAATATTTATTACATAATTGACCTTTACCTGTTGGGTCTATAGATATTTTTAACAGTTTTTCAAAAACAGCAAAACCATTAAAGCCAGATATAATATTAACAGTTTTTCAAAGACAGCAAAACCATTAAAGCCAGATATAATATAAACAAATTAAAGTGAAATTATCCCAAAAATTGCTTTCATCCCAAAAATTGCTTTCATCCCAAAAATCGCTTTCATCCCAAAACTGAAGAATGCAGTGGATGCACTAACTATGCACTGAATTTGTAATGAAGAGTATTTTCATTGTATTATATTGGCAATGACTTAATGTCAATTGTCCAAATAATTTGTATTATTAGAAGACACTGAAATGCAAAGGCACGTTTTAGTCAAGAAGCATAGGATTTCTGGTCTCTTTTCCATTTATAATGAAGAGACAAGGAACATTCTTGATAATCTGTACCAAGATATCACTGATTGCAGAAATTTGTTCTTAGAAAAATTAACGCCATCTTTAAAGATTATAAACCGTATTTTTATAGATAAATATGGATCAAGCTAAATATTCTTCCAAATTTGTTTAGAAGTGAAGCTTTGAGAATTAGTAGCGGCATTTAGTAGAGACAACACAGATGTAATTTATTGATTTGCCAATTCAAGACAAATGCAGAAAAGATTATTTTAAAATTTGACTAATCAAGACTGATATGCAGACACTTGCAGCTCACCTGATATCGCACAACAACCAGAAAAGTTTATAAAGCCTAGAGCAAACACCTAGAGTTACAAAAAGCACCTCATGATTTCAAAGACAGACCAGATCTTCTAGTATATCTGTCTACTGAGTCTACAGTCTATGAACTACATAGAGTTCAATTCAATTCTCTTCCAGATAAATTGAAAAAATTTCTGATTTGATTTCTGCATCAAGTTTGATTCTCAGAACTCTCTCTCTCCATCTTCTAATATGTAGACCATACCCTCTTTCTATTAGAAACCACTCAAAATCTTGGAAAATCCATTTTCAAAAATCTTTTTTTTCTTTTAATATTGATTCAAATTATCGTATTGTAGCCCTAATCTAAAATAATCTTGACACATTAATTATATTCATAATTATTATGATTACTTCAAGAATCAATGGGCAATAAGTAGAAAATATATTTACTGCTTCCATTTCAATTGCAGTTTTCTTCATCTGAGTCAGCCACACTAGCTATAATGGTTTAAGAACAAAAAAGAAGTATTACGTGCCAGAGTTAACAGCCTTTATATAAATACCCAAAAAGCACAGAAACAGTGGATAAGTCAGTTCTATATATAAAATATGTAAATTAAGATATTACATCTCAGAATCAGCAAGTAATGAGTAGAAAATATATTTACTGCTTTCAGATCAGTTCGGAACTTTCTTGTTCTGTTTCTTCTGTGAGATCTGTTATATTCTAAAAAGAAAAAAAAGAAATTCTATCAGTTGCCAGCATTAACTGAACTTTGTAAAAAGGAAAAAAGAGCAAAAAAGAAAAAGAAAAAACCCACATGACAGACAAGTCGGTATCCATCAATATAATTATGTATTCTTCCATTCAGTAAAATACAACAAAGTTTATCACCAGACTTTTATTATAAAATCCAGTGAGTCTGGATGAAATACTATGATTCTGAGAGCAGTATAGTTTCAATAGTACAAGTCTATATATTTTAAATTTATTGACCTGTTCTTCATTTGTGGTTTAATTCAACAAACATGTCACTGTAAAACCTGAAATAAGGCCACCAAAGGCCAACAGAATCCAACTTTAAATGACTTCAGGCATGAAAACTTGGAAGATGGCACATGTAAGAAGGAGGAGATATGTTTACTACTAATTTTCACTTAAAGTTTTGCAATTCATTAATTTAAGAACACATAAAATATGCCCGAAGCCTCAAGAATACTTTTTAATATATAATTATCAGAAAATTATAAAAGTTGGGGCTATACAAGATCTTGAGAGCTCATCTGACTTACCTTAGTGAGAAAAACACCTGTGAAAACCTGCCCCTAAGAATAGTCATAAATACGTTCATAAATATATCTAGAGAACGCTTATAAAACAGGCTGTTAGTAAAGTAACCTTAAGTATGAAGCATATTAATATCACAATATAAATTCTGAGCTAGAATTACACTGCTGATACCAGAAATTAAGTAAGCAAATTATTAAGGCTAATAAAGGAAAAAGGGTTTCTAATAATGATGTACTAAAACTAGTATATCAAAATCTCAAGTTACACCACTTAGAATATTCTAACTGGAAAAAGTCAGACAGATATTAATATCTTTATGATATATTCATAAAGCTGAATGATTTTGCAGAAGTTGACAATATCTGTTAAATGTGCTGTGATGCCTTATAATAAATGAAGGCTGATTCATGGCCTTTCATTTCCCTGGACTATCAAGTATAAAAAGTATGGGAGGAAAAAAATAATGCTGGGCATAGAAGATGTCTGAGGATCACAATATTGAGCCATACTTGTAGTACTGAAAGCAGTACATTCACGTTGGCACAGGGCCCAGCAGGTCCTAGCCTTCATGAGTAGTGTGTCCTTAGTATCTGGTCTTTTATGTTAAATGTTTGCTCAGACATCTCTGCACAAGAGTGCATTCTGCTGCACCAAAAATATACTTCACATCAAGAAAAATATAAATAACTTTAATTTCTCAAAAACAATTAATCTTTTGTGATTTAGTACATGTTGTATTTGACATGTTCACGTGGCAAAAGCAGGCTGCCTCCTCTCTGAGAATATTCATACTTTCATTTGTAACATATCTAAATACAAAAGGGCATTTTAAATCTTGAGGATTTAGTCAGCCAACACCACACAGCCTTTTAGAATAGCTTAACTTGTACCAGAGAAAAGGCTATATGGGCAGTTTGGAGGCTGTGGCCAGATTACCTTCCCTTAAAGCCATACAAGAGAACCAGCACAGACTGAACTGCAACATTTTTAACCTTTGATATGTCAGCACAGAAAACCAAATCTGTAAAAATCAATCATATATAATCTCCCTGTTCTTTCTAAACACTTACCTCAGATTGTCCACTCTCATCTACCTCTTCAACGCTGGTCAAATTAGGCGCTCCCAGTCTATCTGTAAGTTCAGCTATTGTCTTTTCTTTTTCCTATGGTAAGGAAAATCAGTTTTCAGTTAAAAGTATCCATGTCATGAATACTTATCTATAAAGAATATTTCAGGTGCGTTAAAATGACATTATGTATTAATATAAAGATAATACTTTAAATACGTGCTACATAAATGTGCTACTATGGGAATATGGTCTTTGTATGCTTGTCAAGACTATTTTTACTTTTTTTTTTTTTAAATAACATTAATTTTGGTTTAGATTTCTACATATTGATTTTTCCTATCACTCTCATACTGCCATCTTTCTACAATTATGTTCTGGCAGTATTTTCATAGAGAAGTGCTCTAAAATTGTACATATCTCTAAAATATGACATGCTCCACAGAGATTTAAGAGATACACACATTTAAAAGCTTTATTGAGATAAACATGCCAATTATTAGTGTATGCTTTTACTGAAATAGCATTAAGAGACAATACATTTGCACAGACATCTGTATACACAGTTTTCTGTTAGTATAAATTCCTGTGCACCAGGAGGATCTCAGAATCAAGAGACACCCCAATTCCAAACCACCCAGGTACAGGAAATGGACTTTGCACTGACACTCAGTAAAACATTACTGTTTAGACACTGTAAAATTAGACATGCTTAAGTTATAATACTTTCTCATAAATATGGCCAAGGAACGTGAAAACTTCTGACCTTACACTAAATTTTGCAATAAATTTATGCTCTGTTCTGAATATAAACTAAATAAACCTAATAGACCAAAATTCAAGCATAAAACCTAGACTGGAAGCAACGTGTTAAGACATTCTTCCCCCATTTTCATAATTTTTTTAAGAAATTATGCATTAGTTCACCACCCACAGGCTTCAGCCTTATGTTTCTTATTTAGTGCTGCATCTGGAAAAGACAGCTGGTTAACAAGATTTTGAAATTACTGAGTAAGCTTTGGCTTAAACTTCTTGATCTATCTGCTGTACCAGCACTTTGTCGTCTTCATTCTGCAGTTCCAACTGCTCATGTTCTTGTTCCAGCTGACTCTGCAGGAAGTTTAAGAAAAGACAAATTAGAAGGAAAAAAAAAATCAAATTTGTCTTCCCCACCCCATTGCTTATAATGTATTTCATGACTGAAACCTTAACAAAAAGGAAGCATAAAACTTAACTGCAATGTTAATAACATAAAGCCCTTACAATATCATCTGACAACATTTTTATAGGTTTTATTGCATGGATAGAAAGACTTTACAACTAAAAGGAAAAAGAAACAGAAAGATGAAGTTAGTGTACACACAAACTCATTCCACATGTCCTTTATCAGTCTATATTAATTATCTCCTGTACTTTGGATTAAGCTCTTTGATTCTTTGCATAGTATCTAGCACAAACAGATGAATCCACATAGAATCAAATCTAAAGAAAAGATTGGTAAGCAATATCATTAACATTAACCATCTTCAAACCTTCAAAATTTCCAATTGGAAATAACTACTACGGAGCATTCACTCTTTGTGAGCCTAAGGCCTATTGCATCAAAACTTCAGAAACTGCATAATCTAAGATTTCACATTCGACTGCATTAGGGCCTAGAGAATACTATTTGCCTGTACAATAGCATGTAAGTTTTCCGTCCCATGTGCTGACTAATCATTTCAGTTATTATTTAGAAAAGTGAGATTAAAACACTTATTTTATGCTACCTTCTATCAAAATCATTATACAGAGATTAGAAGTATAGAGAGTCCTACAAGATGCCACATCATCATATACTTACTATTTGTAATTATCTATTATTAAGCATTATTGACCTGATGTTGTTCTTCAAGTTTCTTCTGGATCATTAGCTCTTCTTCCTTCATTTTTCTTAACGTTTCAAGTTCTACCAGGGCCGCCTCCCGTTCTTGTTCTAGCTCAATCCTCTCCAACATTCTCTATTTCAAAGGTAAGACAGAATCAATTAAAAAAATAGAACGATTAAATAACATCAATTATATTGTCACAAAATCTTTTGCCTGAGGCGGATCCACCTTTTTTTCTTCATCTAAGATTCTTCTGTAATTGTAAATCCAATGTGCCAGATACTCTATTGGATCTGCTGGCCGATGCTCTACAACTTCTGCCAGTCCCTTTTTCAAGCAAGTTCCCAGGCATTGCTTCAGATACTGAGACTCCATTCACATCTACCAACAAAAACAGACAGACATCAGCCATCAATGTCAGAATTAAATTAGGGTTTTTAAGAAATACTGCCTCAGGCACCAAATACTGAGTATGACATTACTCTTTTTATTAAGCTGGCAATTAATAGAAGAAAGCTATTTTAATTTAATATTGGCTTAGCTCTTAAAAGCTCCAGCAATAGATCAGTTATACCAAGCACTGCAGAAAAAAATGCTCAAAACCCTGTTTGCTGTTTAGGTACATGTAATTCAGAAACTACAGGGAAATATGCTGGCAATTCTAGGTCAGCATGATAGCAAAAAAACTCAAAACCACAACAGAGCAAAGAAAACTTCTACACAGATATTTGAAGAACAGCAAAGTAGTTCCGTGAATGATTAAGGAGAGATTTTAGTTTGAACTAACAAAACTATCTTTAGGATACAGACTGGGGCCTGAAGCAATCACTTTATAGGGTTATGAAAGGAGCAAAACTATATGCACACACAAGCTTTTACTGACTCTGAGCCAAAAACACATCACAGGCCTGAAGCTGTGTTTCTGCAACGCTCAAACACCTGCCTTTGCTGTCAACAGGACGGAACCCGTTGGCCACGAGGAGGCAGCAGGTCCCCCTCAGCCGGGCCGGCGAGAGCCGGGCAGGGCATTTCACACTGCCCGGCCTGAAACGCCCAGGGTGTAAAACCTCTCTCAGCCTTCGCGTTCACACCGGCACCTGAGGGAGCGGGGCCGCAGCCGGTTGTGAGGGCCCTGAGGGCACCGGGAGACCTTTACTGTCCTGACCGTTTTCACCTGTAGCCTCCGCCCACCTCTTCCGCCCTCGGGATCCATTTAAGGCCAGGTTGGGGCCTTTGCCACCCTCCTGAGCTACACGCCGGCCAGGCCTGCCCCTATCCCCGCTCCCTGTGAGGACCTGGCGCCCGGTACCCCGCCGGGCCGTCGCTAGGACCCGGTGCTGTCACCGCCCTGCCGTTGGCCCCTCAGCGGGGCTGTCGCTGAGGTAATTACCCGGCCTGCGCTGTGGCCTTCCTCGTTTCCCCGCCCATCCCCGCTCTCCTTTCCTTAAAGAGCAGCCCCGGGACGGCAGCCTCCACCACATGCAACCCCCTCGCTCCTACCGACCGCCCGTCTCCGGCCCGGCAGCCGCCTCTCCGCCCGCTCCGACACCGGGATGGCCACGCCGGCGGCAGCACGCGCCGGGGTTACTAAGCAACGCCTCTCGCGAGAGCACCGCGACCTTTACGTAGGGCCGGCAGGCGGCTCGCGATTGGAGGGGCGGTGCCAGCCGCTGCCCCGCCGGGAGCAGGTGAGGGACGGCCGGTCCCTCAGCGGAGCTGCGGCCGAGCGGAGGGGTCTCCCTTGGCACCCGGGGCTCCTTCACCGTTTCTCCGCGAAGGGTTCCCGACCAGAAGGGGTTCGGGAAAAAGCGGGAGATATCTGTAATCGGTCCTGCTGCCATGCACTGGCAACGTACAGCCCCTTCGGCTTAGTAGATCAATCCCTTCTGTGTGTATAAACGTGTACAGGCGCGCGGACAGAAGCTAGAGAGCAATTTAGGAAATAAAATGTCGTCGGAATTCTAGCATAAGGAAGGCGAGCTAGCGCCGTGCGGGGGATTCCGTAGCCAAGCTGCGGGCACCGCGCTGCCGCTGCCCCGTTCCGGGCGTCCGGCCGCAGAGCGGAGCGACCTCCTCCCGCTGGCGAGCTCCGTGGCTGGCGCTCGCCTCCAGTGTGGCCGGCCGTTTGCTTCACTGGCAACTATTAATCAGGCGGTTTAAAACCCCGCAAATAATCGCAGCGGAAAGAACGACGGCAGCGTCTGAAGCGTTCATCCTGAAACTCAACTGCACGGACTCTACGTCGGTCCTTTCCCCTCTAGAAACGGGCAGGCCGCGCAACGAAGTGTTTACGGAACGAAAGACTGGGCCGGCGTAATGAAGGGCACGGCTAAAACTGACGGGAAAGGTAAGGAGCTCGGTATTCCGGTAGGGGACAGGCGGCCCGGGAGCGGGTATCGCCGCTCCGCCCGCAGGATGTCGCTGGCGCCCCGCGAGCACGCCTCACGGGGCGCGGCCGCCGTTCCCCACCCCCGGGGCCGGCCGCCATCCCCGCAGCGGCCGCCGGAGGTGCCCCCCCTCTCCCTCAGCGCCCAACCCGCCCCCCGCGCCTGCGCGGTGCAGCCCATCCGTCAGGCGCCTGCGCGGTGATGGCGGCGGGGAGCGGGGCGCCGGCCGAGTCCTGCGTGGGGCAGGTGGTGCTCCCCGGGGACGTGCTGCTCCTCCCCGCGCACCCCGAGGATGACGGCGAGCGGCTGCGGCTGGGGGGCGGCTCGGCCCCGCGGGGACGGCTGCTGTGCGGGCCGGGCCTGCGGCGGTGCCCTACCGGGCTGCTGGTGACCAAGTGCGGCCTGCTGAGGCATCGCCCAGCCGGCGGCGGAGCGGCGGGGGCGGCGAGCGGCGCTTACTGGGTGGACTCGCAGCAGAAGCGGGTAGGGATGGGGAGGGAAGGAGGGAGCGGACCCGCGTCGTGTCTGACCCCCTTGACCACCCCCTCCTCCCTTTGCAGTACGTACCGGTGAAGGGCGACCATGTCATAGGAATCGTGACGGCCAAAGCGGGAGACGTGTTTAAGCTGGACGTGGGTGGGAGCGAGCAGGCGTCTCTCTCCTACTTGGCCTTTGAAGGGGCCACCAAGAGGAACAGGCCAAATGTGCAGGTAATCCTTAGGTTTATTGGCCGGTAACGGTTTAGCGATGCCCTTTGGTGGTGCCTCTGTTACGTTTTAGTAGGTTTTTTTTAGTAAAAGATGTTTTTATAAGCTGCACGCAAGAGGAGGAGCACAGGTTGGTGTTGCTGTGGCCCTCCATGGAGGTTATTACACGGTTAGGCCATGGGCTGTCTGAGATTTCTATAAAGAACACTAAGTAGTGTGGGTCGGTGTCTGGCAGATGGCAGGCTTTTCCACGCCTTACATTTTAACTTTCCCATAATAACTGCCAGCAGTAGATGCAGTTAATGAGCAGCAAGCATCCAAGGGGGGCACTGTGAAGTTAAAAAGAAGCTCTTACATCTGATACTGGTAGAAAACGGTTGGGTTTTTAATAACACTGGTGTAAACAGTTGTATGGCACGTGCATGTCACAGCTTCTGCATTCAACTGAAATATCTTCATCAGAATGTAAAGATGGACTGTAAAGAAAAACAACATAGGTTACTGTGATTTTTTTTGTTGTTGTCTCGATAAATCATTACAAGAGCAGGTTGCTTAGACTTTTAATACCCTTAAAGTCTGAAGAAAGAGGAATTCATGTTTTGTATTTAAAAAGAGGAATACTCCATGCAATAAAATGCTATATTCTTTTGGTATCTTGCAAATTCTAGTAGTGATACAAGATAATGGTTCCTAGCAGATATTTTCTTTAGTAGAAGAAAACAGAAATTTCTATTAGACCAGTTTATTTTTCTATCACCAATACTTCAAAACTATTTTTATCAACTGAGTATTTCTTAGAAATATGCAGTATGACCTTCTCTAATACTTTTGCTTTCTGACACTACTTTCTTTAGGTGGGAGATCTTATTTATGGTCAGTTCCTTGTAGCAAATAAAGACATGGAACCAGAGATGGTCTGTATAGACAGCAGTGGAAGATCAAGTGGAATGGGACTAATTGGACAAGACGGCTTCCTCTTTAAAGTTTCCTTAGGTCTAATAAGAAAGTAAGTATATGAAGAAAAGCAAGCAGTCATTCTAACATGGAATATGGTGGGTAGGATTTGCACAACTACTTCCTCTGAGTGATGTGGAAAATATGGTAGTCAGAGTGTGTAAACATTTTAGTGCATTTATACCAGTTTTGCTGAACAGTGTGTGGATATTGACCTAGGAGGAGCGTGTATTTCCCCCCTTAAGAGATTCAGATGCTCTTCTACATGGTGGTGTGAAACCCGTTTAAAAAAAAAAGAAAGAATGTGGAGAACAAAACCATTGACCTGGGAAATTAAATATTCAAGCTGGGGTTTCAGGTATGTACCTACTACCTTGGAATTTAGAAATTGGAAAGGCTTACTGCCCTTTTTCTGCTTAATGGGCTAGTGAGGGATGTAAATTTGTCCGACAACTGATTGGAGGGGTCCTTCCACATCAATACACGTTATTTTCTTACTTCCAAAGAAAAACAGGTTACATTGAAATAAGGATACAGATAAACTCATGGGCTTTTTATTTTAAAATTACATGTTAATCCGGAAAGCACTTCATAAGCTTTTAAATGTATTGTAAACTGTGGAGTTACTTACACAAGATTTCTGTGACTGTTGAAGAATACTGGCTTATATGGATAGATAATAGCCAAACTTTGTTGCTCTTTGGTGGTGTTTTTTGGTTTTATTGTTCTTTGGAAAAGCAATTTGGAGATGCAGAGCAGCTGTTTCATAGCTGGGTTTAAGTAATAATTTGTTTGGATTACATGTTCCACCTGAAGTTAGTGTGAACTGATACAAAATATTTTTGCAGCCATTCTGCTTATTTTCCATATTTTATATGCAGGTAAAGAAATGACATATTACAAGTAAACTGCTAAATCTTGATATGTTTGTTTCCTCTTTGAGAAATCAAGCTTCAGCAGGCTTTAATCCTTGATGTACTATAATATTCTTGACACTTTTCATTTTTCAGTATGCTGTCACCTGATAAAAACAATATCCTGTTTACTGCTGTTAATATTGTCTCCTGAAGGGGAAGGGAAGTTGTCTTTTGAAAGACACATCTTTAACTCTGGTGACAAACTTACAAATAGCAGTACTTCAAAAATGTCGCTTTGTCAAGCAGTGCAGTTTTAGAATTTATAAATAAAATCATAGAATTATTATAAAAGTATCAATTCACTTTAAATTTGTCAGGTATTACTTCTGAATCTAATTAGAAAACTAAATTCACAAGTGCTGTATTTTTTTTAGGTACCTACATTTTGTAGGAGGTGAGAATTAAAAATCTGATACTCTATTACTATTTTCAATGCATGTGTAACTTGATGTCTTAGCTCTTGGTGTTGCTTCAGTAGCTCCTGTAGCACCAGTACTGTGGTTTAGTTAGTGATTGATAATAACGGGGTGTCTGTCAAATGTGACCACTTGCTGCTTCCTGTGACTTCTTATATCTTGTTTACAGACTCTTGGCTCCCAAATGCGAAATAATTCAAGAGTTGTCACAATTGTACCCATTTGAGCTGGTGCTGGGAATGAATGGAAGAATATGGGTAAAAGCAAAAACAGTTCAACAGACTTTAATTATAGTAAATATTCTGGAGGCCTGTGAGTATATGACGGCAGAACAGAGAAAACAAGCGCTTGCCAAATTGTCAGGGAATTGATAACAGAAAACCTTGAGGATCTGAGGTGACTGTTGGGTGCTTGGTTACTTTTGTATTCAGATTTATATTAAAAGCCCTTTTTTTAATGAAGTACTGGACTTTTGTTGTTGTTCTTCAATTCCCTTCTTTATCCACATGGTTTGTTCTGTCGTGGCTAGGAACGTTGGTTTTAATCACTGAAGTGATTATGAAACCCTGTTCATGTTCATGAATTTTTCTGACTGATGTGGAGACAGTATTTAAAAGCTTCCATTAGCTGTGACTTTTGAGATGTAACCACAGTCTTCTGTAAGAAAACTTACCAATTTTTAAACAGCATATATTTGCCTTTTTAGTCATTATTAATATTAAAACTTCAAACAATACATGTTTACTTGGGGTAGTAGAAAGTGTCTTGCAGGTTACTTGTTCTAGTCAGCTGCTGTATTTATACAGTGACAAGAAGTGATTATTTGATATTTTACAACACTTGGTAATAGAAATGCAGGTGGAGAATACCAGAAAATAATTACAGGGCATAGCATAAAATAAATCACAGAGTGGTTAAGGCAAAGGATCAGATAAGACCCAATGTATGGTCACAGTGACCTGACCACTTTCCCTAAAAGATAATCTGACTAGTAGTTCTAAGGAAGTAGTGATTAGGACATAACTTCAGTATGAACATTTAGGAATGCACTCACTAACAGCACTATTTGAAGCCACTTGCAACTTTTTCATAAGTGCCTTTTAAATAGAGATTAGGTAAAGACTGCTGCACCAATAGCCATGTATTTCTCAATTCTAAAAATTTCAGATTTGTGTAGTTAGAGCATGAAGATTCCATGTAGCTTTGCTTCAGGCTTAACAAAAGCAGCATTTCTGAAATAAAGTGATGTTAGGCTTCATTGTGTGGTAGTTCCTCACATACAGATAGATAAATGGTGTCCTCAGAAGGATATGCTGTCAGTCTGTTTCACTATGTGAATAGTTTGCTACTGCTCTTTTGAGAGAGAAAGAGAACCCTGGAGTCATGGAAGGTGAATGAAGGATGTGTGCTTCCTGTGGGAGAAATTGACTGTGTGTACCCAATGAACTGCATGGGAGCTGCTTAAGCTGTTCCTTAGATATTTGATGTTTTGTGGTTCTATTTAATACTATTTGATAGCAATAGTTAAATTAGAAAAACATGGACTAATTAGAGTAAGCCTGAATAGCATCTTAATTCCAAGTGGAAATAAAATTCTCCCTATTTATTCTGTATTTCACCTGAAGCTCATTCTGTGGTATTTGATATGGTTTTCTTTGGCATCTCTCTCATTTAGAAATTGCTTCAGTTCAGAGCCACTCTGACTCATCTTTAATATGCTTACTTATGGCTTCCCCGATTCAATAAAAACATGCTCTAATGGTTTCTGTATGAGTCTAATGGCTACAATTCAGAATTCTTTCTGAGTTTCGCTGGCCTCCCTATTTAGCATTTAGAGTATTACTTATCTGACGTGGTAGATCTTTAGTCATCTCTTTGTTACACCTGCCTTCTCCTAAATGTGACGTTATTTTCATTCATATTCCATAAATCCTTTAGGTCTATAATCTAGCTTATATTACACATGAAAAGCTATAATAAAAATTTCACTAACTCTGTTCTTTGCTGTTTTTTCAACTTTAGCTAATCAGAGCCCCTGCGAGCATCTGTTACTAGAACAATAGCTGGCATAAGCAGAAAAGCATTTGCCAAATCATCTCAGGTGCTAACTTTGTTTTCTGTGAATACTCTTGGATCATAATACTAAAACCACAGGAATGGGGAATGACGTGGATCAATTCCTGAAGAGTTGTGGCTTGAAATGCAATTAGCCTCACCACTCCCCCTTTTACCTGCCTAAGCAACCTCCCTTCCCTCCCAAAAGTCTGTTTTAAACCTAATCTGCAAGATGCATGGACAAGCCCTGATTTTAAAATGCTGTTTTGGTGGTGCAGCATAGCAAATGGTGACCTCGAAAGTTTTCAACATCAGCCATCACTGTCCCACTGTCAACTCCTTATCACCCAAATACAACCTTAGTTAAACCAAGAGCAGGAAACAAAATGCATTAATGTTATGCTTGTTTTTAATTTAACAAGATGGTATATGCACAAAGTACTTGAGTTTTGACCCCTGCACAATCGTTTTAAGTATGTACTGCACTAAATTGTTTTACAATTTATGCAGTGGGAAAAATGATGGTGGATATGAGTGAAATGGTGTGGGGGAAAAATGTTTGAAAGCAAATACATCTAAACACCCTACTAAAAAGTGGCAATGTTGGTTGTTGTTGTTTTTTTTTTTCCTTGGAGAAAACTGCATTCCTTAAACCAATGACTAGCTTTGACAAGCTTTATCTAATGAACAAAATATTTAGGCAAAATCTGTATGATGTCTGTGTGAGCATTTAGTTCTGGGTCAGTGATTAAGCAAGTGTCACCAAGAGGGACATAGATTATGACATGGTTCTAGGAAGAATGACTGATCATGAGTGAATTATGTATTCTACTAGAAATATTACAGGAAGTCCTTCTCACGCCCATTGAAGGCACCTAAACACACAGGTTTCAGGAAATTGAACTTGTGGAAGTGATGCTGTAGACTTGAAATGTACCTTGCTTAGGAGAATGTCTTTCTGCTGCATTTATCTGCATGATGCATTGTCAGTTTGAGACATTATTTAGAGTTACTCATTTCAGGTACTTGGTGATTGTGCTTTGGCTCCTTTGTTATATTGCTGTTCTTTCAAGTTGTTCTGATGAAAGTTAAGTAAAAATTGTAGTTGTCAACACGGACACAGTCTGTATCCCCAGAGATGAGCACAACCCCTTTAAAAGAAAGTTCACAAAGAATTAAACAGAAACCATACATTGGAAATAGGGAATATGTAGTTTGTGGCCTTTCCTAGGTTGATGTGTTGTATAAATACCAAGACTAAATGCTAACAGGAAGTACAGATACGCAGTGTTGAAATTAAGTGTGATAATAAAACATTTATGTTTTGCTGTAGCAGAAGAAAGTTTCACAGACAAATAGTTCAATGTAGTAAGAGGATTAAGAGCTTAATTCTAAGGCTATGGTTAGAGTGTGGCTGTAGCTCTGTTTGATTGTTTACTGTGCCCAACTACTCATTAGCACCAGAAGTTGCAACTGAGATTTGCTGGCATGTCTATTTGATTCCTAGCCAAGTTCTGTCAAAATTACCCAGATTGGCATCAAAACTTTTAATAGCAGGGTTATCTTGTTTTTCTAGCCCAGATGTTCTTTTAGCAGAAGAGGTCATGGAATTTTTCTCTCAGATTTTAAGTATTAAGAGCAGCTCATCTACTACTGGAGAAACATAAATTTGTTAGAGAAAGCCCAGTTATCTTCTTTAGCGTTTGAACAAGTAATTCTGTGTAACAGCTAAATCAACGGGTAAATCAACAGATTATTTTAAACCTTATGAATTGGTCACCTCCAAGCTTTGATTACTTAAAAATATTTACACTTGTTTTTCTAGCTACGTACAATCAACTTGGTAAAATACTTGACTGAGTATAGAAACTAGCTCTTACGGACAATGTATACATACTATTTAGTTTTAACACAAGCAGCCTTGTCCTTACTCATGAACTTGCGTAGATTGCAAGATGCATAACTATTATTGAAGGCTATAGTAAGGAACTAAACATGTCAGTTTTGCAGGTTTTTAAGTTTACAACTTCAAAGAGAAATAGCCTAGAAACATTGGGTGCCTGGACTTTAATAGAAACTGTGTAGTAGTTGTGGGTGGTAAATCAGGACCGCTGCAGAATGGCTGTTTTCTGATACCCTGATCTTGCAGAAGTGCAGTTGCTGCCATTTTGGTGCTATTAATATGGATATTTTGGGATATTCAAGAGGATGGTTTTGCTTATAGAACCGGAAGCTTGGTCACTATTCTAGTGGCTTGAATTGTTACTAAAAATAACTCTCTCTATTAGGCCTCAGTGTCCTACCTATTATGAGAAAAACTAAAAAATTGCTATAGAATAACATAGGTAGCACTGCAGTGAACAGGACAAAGAAAAACTATCAACCCCGGAGATTATTAAAGACTGAAGGACAAACAGGACTAATGACCTCATCCACTCTTTCCGAAGCGGCTATGTTTATGTATTGTATTCCTGTAAATGGAAGGTTTTTCTGTCATGTTGTTTGTTAGGCTATTGCCAAAAGAGATTTGTATTAGTATCTGTGTACCCTTTAAAAAGACTTACTAATTCTTCCTGCTCTTCCCTCAGATGGAGGGTGTTGGCACCGATCTTGGTGTTCCACTGTGAACTGCTCATGCGGGTGAAGCTGATTTCAAAAGACCTGTAGGTCCTTTGGTTTCTTCAGTGACTACTGCACCCTGATCTTACTTAAGATAAATCTAAGATCCTGTGTCCAGGCTGTCTGTAGACAGACTGGTGCTTTTATTTCTTGAGAATCAGGATGAGGTTGAACACACCACCACGAATACATATCACTGTAGAGCCTCCAAACAAGAGGTGGCTTTTGCCTTCTCTAGCTGGAGCCTATGTCAGTCTGCATCTGTGGGGATGTGCCTTCAGAAGCACATGGGTGAAAAGTTCAAGCTGTATTTTTTGTTTATTTGCATCCAATCTTACTGGCTCAGTATCAAAAATCTTAATCAGTCTGGAAATCCTTCTACAGACATAGGGCCTTGATCCTGCCCTAGCCCACTGCTCGCTGTCTCTTTCCTCCTTGCTTTTGAGATCTCCTGTTTCATGATAGAAAAGGCGTTTTGTTTTTTTTTAATTTGTCTAACAACGCCCTTGGTCTAAAGCTGATCTATAGAAGCATGATCCAACAAGAAAGAGAAATAATTAACTTCTGAAATAACACACAGCTTTGTCATTCTGCATGTGAGTTGAAAGTTTCGTAACACTAGATCATGTTTTAGCATAGATACTTGATACAGTGCTTGCCGGGTGACTTATGCACAGGCATGCTAGGGAAATTTAATTAACTGATAGACAAGCAGTTTGCAGACTGATACTCCTCATTCAGTTTAACTGCTGTAAAACTGAATTATGAAAGCAGGATGAGAAGGGCT